TGGCTGGTACTCCTCCCCGCTACTATCTGTTTCACTAGCCTTCTTCCGTTCCTGACTCCACCTCCACCTGCTCAAAGAAGTTCTCCACTTCCTTCCWAGTAGTATAAACCATATCCCTAYTCAATATCTTGTTGAAAAGCTTGTCTGAACCCCTCCTAGTACTAGTAGATACTCAACATTACTATACTAGTAGTGACAAAGCAGCTAAAGTGATGAAAACACAGCAAACTTTCAGAGGTCTAGTACTAGGCCACAAATCCACCAMTCTCCTCTAGATGATCAATGACACCACTCCTTTTCAGGCCAGGAGGCTCAAACAATCATAGGAGAGGGGAGCCTSACTTCTTATGTCTAATTAAATGACTCTGTCCTCTCTGTGGAAGAGTACTACCTTCTTGACAGCATTTGATTGAGGTTTGGGCTACTCTGCTTTCCCCCACCACACAAAAGTGACATGTGGTGCAGCTCCCTGTGCTCACTCACCATGGAGAATGGTGCTATTAGCTGATCTTCCAGCAACATAATGATGTAGTTGGTGGAGAATGTTGTTATTTGCYAAGGCTCTGAAAACAACAAGAGCAGCTGTGACTGATGAACCACCATGGTGAATTCCTTCTAGGAGCTATAGCCAGCTCCCCTCAGCAGTCCACAGAATCAGCTACTAATAGTAGTACTAGGAGGCATAATYCCTCTACCCCTGCTCTCCTCAGAGATGATGTGGTCATCCATGGCTCCTTCTGCCAATGTAGCACTCCTGCTACTATTAGTACTAGTAGTAGTAGTAGTACTACATGTAGTAGTTGAATAGTACTAATACAAGTACTACTAGTACTAGCACAGCCCATTGCTACTACCATCTTTGACATTAACCAGTGACCTGCTGGAAGAATTCTCACTGCTCTGGACTTCCAGAAGAAACAAAAAGAAATTTGTTTCATTTAGAATCTGTGTAGTAGGCCTCAGTACCTTCAAATTGCAAATAAATTAATACCTTGGTAAAAGACATTTTTATTTTTAGTTATTCTTATACTACTAGTGGTGGTACTAGTACCATTATTAGTGCTAGTTTGGACAGAAACACTCAGAGCAGTCATTTCAAAGTTAAAGAGAACTCCATTCCCAAGACTTCATGTTCAGTCATAGTTGTCATCRGTCATTCTAAAAGGAAAGAGAACCCAATTCCTCCCAAGACTCGAAAATTCAGTCATTAATGTCATCATAGTAAAAGAGCACCAATTTCCCAAAATACTTGTTGTTGAGTGATCAGTCATTCTCAACCAAAGGATGATTTGTATTCATAGTACATAGGGATCTTATAGAAGAGGGGAAAACCCAAAGATTCACCAAAAGCAGCCCATATGAGCATTGCACCCTAATGTGCATGTAAAAAAACAACTTGAAAATGTTCAATGTCTTGAACTAAAAGAGGTGCTTGGGAAGCTAGAACCATCACTTTCTGAGAGAAGGTTGCTTCAAGTTGCTYTAAGGGGCAGCACTCCTGGAGGAGTGCAACTGGGGTAATGTAGATATTAAGGAGGTATGCTGGAATTATTTCAAGTATTCTATTGTTGTCTTTTTTGGAGTATACACCAACGCCCAGCATGATAAAACCTTGAGTGATGCTCTCTTTTGGTTGTTTGCAACTGGTCAATAGATGGAAGTACTGAGTAGCAATCAGATTGGTAGTGGTAGTAGTGAAAATAGTGGTAGCATCTTGAATGSCCCTTCTTTAGATCTTTTCATAAATTCTGATATCGTATAGTTGGCCAGCAAATGTACAATAATATCATACCTCTTGGGCCATCTAATTACCGTGTAATGACTCGTGGGATTAAAAAATTGGCTTGTACTGCAGTTTACAGCGTGCACGTGCGAGCTAAACTATTTGGAAAACTATTTGGTCGCAAAAATGTGGGATTCAAAAATTCAGCACATGCCGGCTGTAAACTCCAGTACAAGCCAATCTTGAATCCCATGAGTCATTACACGGTAATTAGATGGCCCAAAATCCAAGCACAGTACAAAAAACGCATAGGGCATTAAGAGAGGTTCAACTCACTCGAACAACTATAACTTTCCCCCCAATGGACGCTTAAGTATGATAAGCACATGATTAAAATGAGAATTCAAAGAGCTTCCTAATGCCGTGGGGGAGTAGGGGGTACAATAAATATTGATCGATATACGTGTATGTATATCTATTGTATAGCGTTGGCGGAGTAATTTGGGCTGACCCAGTCGTACATTAGCAATGCTGGATATACCTACATGTATATTGATCAATATACTCTTTGAATTCTCTTTTTAACCATGTGCTTATCATACTTAAGCGTCCTTTGGGGAAAAAATTATAGCTGTTCAAGTGAGTTGAACCCCTCTTAATGCCCTACGTGTTTTTTGTACTGTGCGTCAATTTTGGGCGATCTTTTTTACCGTGTAATGACTTGTGGGATTAAAAATTTGGATTTGTAATACAGCTACAGCAATAGCACGTGTTAAAGCAAAAATCAGCAGCAGTTGGAGCATGTGCACAAAAAAACTATTTGGTTGCACACTTGTGGGACTCAAAAATTCCAGTACCAGTAAAAGTACTTAGCATGTGCATTTTGTATATATAATTTTTTGTCAAAGTAGTCATTACACAAAAATAAGTAGCCCAAAATGTACGACTGTATCATACATCTGGCCGCCAACCCTACTATATGATACGATAGTACTCATATGATGAGAAGGAAGTGTTGTTAATGGCATTGGGTAGGAAAGCTTCAGGGTCATGGGTGAAACATACTAGTGGCTCCATACTACCCATGCTTACTGGTGTAAGGCCTCCTCCTTTTGGAAAGACAGCAGTCTGACCATAATGGAAAGAATTATTGCTTTGCTCCCACAGAGCGTATTTGAGCAGAAAAAGAATTCAATCAAGGAGGCTCCTAAAACCACTGGTTAATATGGTTGTTATTGGATCTGATGAGATCTAATATTGGGAAAGGTGGCCCATAAAAAGATGTGCTAACTAATGTTGTTCTGATAGTATTGTTCAATACAGCCAATAGCTTTACTGCTGAGAGACTTCCAAGCTACTACAACCTTTAGGATGTTCTTACTTGTTGTCCACCATTGTAACATTACTAACACTGATGTTACTACTACTAGTAGTAGTACAAAATCAACATCATGGCATTCATGACAACAGTGGTTACTAGTGACATGAATGATCAACCAAGAAAAAGATACTTTAGAGGAAGATTAATTTATGGAAGAAGTACATCACAATGGAAAATCTCAAGACAACCATGGACCAAGAGTAGTTCATTTGTTTTCTATCAGGAGGTGGTGGAATCAAAATAATTCATTCTGTTTGACATTATGATTGTAAGATGCTTTGTTGAAAAGAATTGGGAGTGAGATTTTCCAACAGAACTCTGGCTATCATAGTACTAGGTGTGACTGGATTTTAAGCAGGTAATATCAATGGAGAAACAAGAAGACACAAAGCTTACCATCAAAATTCTGACAGATCTATTGTCACACAGGATGATGCACAGGAAGATAAAACTTGCCTGCTCATTGTTGATGAGATATTGTTTGCTAGCATCAAATAAATTGAAACATTGAACAAGTGATACTATCTGAACTTTTATGCGCTGACAAGCTGTCTACCCATTGTCTTTACAGGTGACTTCAATCAACTCAAACCAGTAGGAGGAGACTCCCTCTGGTCAAAAAAAGATTTCTTTCTTTTGAGAGAAAAAACAAACATGACAGTTCTCCTTGAACTTAAAGAAACAAACCAAAGCTTTAAAGATGATGTAATCTGGTGGGGGGAGTTTCTTGATGATTTAAGAATAAACTGCTTGAAAGAAGAAGAACATGTTSAAATCATCAATTCAAGAATTGTAAAACGTTTGGTCAAACTCCCAGAAGATATTGCTTATGCAGCATGCAACAATCCAGACAAGTGTGGAATTAGTGATGGAATATTATCTGAGTTTCTCAATGTGACACATTAAAAAATKTGTATCATAGATTACCACATCACACTATTGTAATCAATGCCTCAAACCTAAAACTGCAGATTGAAAAAACAAGAAAATACAGAGAGGACATGCCAGATATTCAGAAAAGCTGGTTACCAACTGCCACATCAGATGTTGAAATTGTTGGAGGTGGAAAAAAATCTTCCAAAAGGACAGATCCAATGCTTGAATTGTGTAATGGTAGACCTATCATGATTAAAAACAATCAGATGCACTGATGGATATTTTGTTCAATGTGTACTGCTACTACTAGTAGACAATGACAAAGTTGAATGGATAGAGGTGTTCCTTGAAGAAGGAGACTAAAAAACATGATCACTTTAACTTCTCAAAACACTGCAGCAAAGGCTAAATTTCAATGTCCAGAAGAATATGAGTACAAAATTACCCATGAAAACAACAAGTCACAAGGGAAGAATGATGCATTCAACTCAATTCCCAAATAGTAATATTGCGCATACAAGAAGATCTGTTCACAAATTACAGGAGGAGAAGATATTTGGAAAATGTGTTGKTTTCAACTCATTGGTCTCACTCAAGCAATTGTATTTATGTTGATCTTGATTTGCTGCTTTCAAGAAGAGTTAGAACCTCCAGCAGTGGTGGTCTGTTTCTTGTACGGCTAGTTCTAGTATTAGTAGGAAGAACACCACCTGGTCTTCCTCCTCCTCTTGAAAAAGAACAACACCAACAAATCAGTGAATTCCATTCCTATTTCTTCAGAAACAACAGATCCAGAGTGGTGTCATTGATTCTTTGCTTTGAAATTATTTTCAGGCCCATACTTTTCCACCTTGGCAYTCACTTGGTAAATTTTGCACCGTGGAAACTAGCACTTGCGTTGGCGAGCCAATCCCCAAGTGAAGGCCATCACCTGAGATAGTCCTGCTGGAAGCAAAGGAACGAGAAGAAGCAGGTTTGATTTTCGTTCCAAAAATTTTCAACAGTGAATGCTTTGTGTGACAAAGTAGAAATGCTGGTTGACTCACCAACGAGCAAGAGTGATGAAATCAACCGTTGCCTCAAATGGAAACGATGGCTTCTGGAAGCCCGCGGATGAGGCCAACGATGAAACGACTGGCGCCACAGCCGTTTTCAATTTTTCATCTGCCCCTTTGGCCCAACAGCGCATGCTGCTACCCATTCACAAACACAAACGACAGATTCTGTACGCTCTCGAGAACTTCGGTGTCGTTGTCATTGTCGGTGAAACGGCATGTGGTAAAAGCACGCAAATACCCCATTATTTGATGTCCAATGGCTGGTGCGACAATGGCTTCCAAATAGTTTGCACGCAACCCAGACGGATCGCTGCTCAAACTTTAGCAGCACGAGTCGCCAAAGAAGTGGGAAGGGGAAGTCTTGGAGCCACTGTTGGATACACAGTGCGTTTCGACGACCGAACATCAGAAGGTTCCAAAATCGTATACGTCACGGATGGAATTTTGTTGCGGGAAGCAACACTCAGTGATCCATTGCTATCCCGATATAGCGTAGTCATGGTGGACGAGGCTCACGAAAGAAATCTCAATTCCGATGCACTCTTGGGGCTTCTCAAAAAGATTCGGCGCAAGCGTCCAGGTTTGCGAATCATCATCTGCAGTGCAACTATCGATGCAGAGGCTTTCTTGGACTTTTTCGCCCCAAAAGCAGGAAAACCAGAGAAAGTCTTATCGAAACGCCGTCGTCGATGGGACAATGTAGATGGCGGTAGGGCTACTACAACTTCGCTGCCAACAAAATTGAACAAGGGAACCATAATATCTGTTGATGGTCGTCAACATTCTGTTGACATCTTTTATCTGGATAAGCCAAGTAGCAATTACCTTCGTTCAACGGTTGAAACGGCACTGCATATTTGTAAAATATCGTCAAAGAAATCTGATGGYGATATTCTATGTTTTTTGCCMACTGGAGAGGACGTTGATGAGGCCATTAGAATGGCCGAAGAAGTTGTTGATAGCCAGGAACCCCATCTCGCCCACGACGTAGTGTTTCTACCACTTTATTCGAATCTACCCTTCAACCTGCAAGCTCGTGTCTTCCGGGTCAACGGACGAAGGGGCGATGGGGGCAACTTTGTTAAAAAAAAACGTATAATTTTTTCTACAAATATTGCCGAGACAAGTGTGACAGTCCCTGGTATAACACACGTCATAGATAGTGGACTTGTGAAGCTTCCATATTTCGATCCAGAGACGGGTTTTGATCGCCTCATCGTAGTACCGAGCAGTCAGGCCAGTGCCAAGCAACGGGCTGGGAGGGCGGGGAGGATTCAAGCAGGCCAATGCTACCGATTATACACCGAATCTTTTTTTACGGACAAAATGGAAATATCGACGCCACCTGAAATTTTGAGAACGAACCTATCTAGTTTCATTCTGACGTTGAAGGCGTTAGGAGTTGATAACATTCTTGGATTCGACGTCATGGATCTTCCGGGTGTAGATGCTCTTTCTCACGGATTAGAATCGCTTTATGCATTAGGTGCTATCGATGATGACACAAATATGACTGTCTTGGGAATGGACATGTCCTCGTTTCCTACGGAGCCACGGGTCTCTAGGATGCTGCTTGAATCATTGAGAGAAGAGTGTTCGACAGAAGTAGCAGGKATTGCAGGTGCTCTTCAAGTGAGATCACTGTTCCTTACAATGCGTGGAAGTTCAGCTGGAAGACAACARCGGCAATTAGATTATGACAATGCTATCTCGGAGTTTGCTGACTCGAGTGGAGATCATGTCACGTATGTCAATGTTTTATCAGAGCTGGATGATCGACGATTGGATCGYGAAGARTGCACTTTGAAATTCTTAGATTATGTKGCACTCAAGCGGGTTGTCGAAGTACGGGATCAATTGCTGCGCCATTTAAAAAAATTTGGACGAATTCGCTCTCTCGGAATGGCAACCGTTGAAGAGCGAAGGGAATCGATACTGAAGAGTTTGACATCCGGATTCTTTTTCAATGTTGCGAAGCTACACAATGATGGTAAATATTACACAATAAGAGGAACCAATCACATACTTGTGACACCGAGCTCCTCAAGTATTTTCCACACATACGGATCGCATGCTGAATATATAATCTTTTGCGAAACCCACGACGGTGTCAGGGGGGGTATAGAACTTCGAGCCGTATCGGCAATCGATCCTCGATGGCTCAGGGAATTGGCTCCTCATTATTGGCATTAGCCTCTAGCATAATCAGCAAAAATGCAATATTTGAAGTATCAAAAATAGAAATCACATTTAATCTTCCTGAGCGGGACAASAACTACAGGCACTACTGATAAAAGGCAAATGATACCGAATAATAAGTGCAGTAATGTATGTTAGTGGTAATTATATAGAGCACATGTAGTGATAAATTGAAGTCAAAAGTTAGATATTCTGTCGAACACGAGACAGGTCGATTCCTGACTTCAAAATAGTACCCTGAATCGCAGTGATAATTATCTCGCAAATCCATACTGGTGTACAACTTCTTTTTTCTGAAAGCTTGATTGAGATCATCGCTGTTGCTTACTCCCGGAAAGCATAAGATTTCTATTTTTACCTGATACAAGTTCACGGTTGTGTCACTTCGCTACGCAGAAAAATCGATCGATTCCATAAGAAAAGACCACTGACCTTAGCTTACAAAACATGATGAATTTTTATGGGTATCGTAGACAAATCATTGAAAATTATAAATTGGTGATGGGATTGGAAATTTTGAATGGGCGGATTTGAGTTCCCTCGAGTTTGCAGGATCGAATCTATCTGCTACTTGACAAGAGTGAGAAATTTTAGTTCGATGTGAGAGTGGAATAGCCGAAAAGGTGCACTGCATCGTCCAACGATGGCAAATTTGTGTCATCCAGATCGGAATATGAAGAGAATGAAGTTGAGCACGCAAGTTTCCATTGTTCTTCTCTATTAAATGTGTGCTTGAATCTTGGAGAATCCTCGACCTGGTAGTCGGTATGAGAGCGATCGTCTTCGATTTCTGTTCGTTGCCGTTTCCGACACCGACGAAACATGGAGGTCTTTTTCATGTGAAAATTAGGGCTCTGTCGGTTCGGCAACAAGTTTCCACTACTGCTGCAACTATCATCATCACTCACAGTGGCGAAAACGTCGTTGGTCATAGCTGTGCTTGACAAGTTACCGAATTCAACCTTTTGGTCAAAGAGCTTCGGGGTTGGAAGGTCAGATCTTGTGACTTCTTGGGCACCGAAGTTATTACGTGATTGTTGTGATCTTCGTGATAATTCTGTTGGTGATGGCGCAGAATTGGTCTCGGAAGACAATAGGCTGTTTGACTTGACGATCTTTGTACTCCTTTCTTCTGGTCTGAGTTGCTTTTGCATGGCTTCGTATCTTGGTTTCCAAAATCGRATTCGATTGTTCACAAACCAATTGTTTAAGCGTTTGATATCGATGCCTGTGTCTGCTACCATTCTTGCTTTCTCTGCTTCGGAGGGATAAGGATGATTGATGTGCTCAGGGCTCATTAACCAGGTCTTCAAGTAGTCGACGACATGAGTGGGGAGACTGTTTGATCTTCCGCGTCCTTGGGACTTTCTCTTCTTCGTTGGTGAGGAACGAGCTGGATCAGTTGTCATCGTGAATCTGATACTGTATTGTTGTTATGACGTCAATGCTTTCTATGAGAAATGCGTTTGTGATGTTGTTTGATGCCTTCGGCGCAATTCACGGAACATTGAGAAAGAAAGAAAAAGGAGTGAAAAGACCAGGCCACGGAGATGTGTTCTCTTAAAAAATGCTGATWCTGTATTGAAGGTCTTCATTGTACGGTACGATTCGTTTCTAGACCCATCAAATTGTCAATGTGGGCAGTATCAAGCGATTCTATTGGCTAAAAATTGTGATGACGTCTCTCTTGACGCTATTTGTGGAGTAAGTGGGGTCCCGTCCAGTTTTGAGCGTTTTGAGGGTTCTCCACTCGCGTTCAACCGTAAAGGGCATGCTCCAACCACGCGGAAGAAGAATGAACGATACTGCTACTAATATGCTTTGCACATGTTTCACGATTTGATTGGAAAGGCCTAAGAGTACAAAAATCTGTTTTTCGTCATTGCCCAATGAAAAAAAGGCGAAATTCTTCTTTCCAGACTAGAGGTTTAAGAAAGAATACAGTTACTCTAATACTGTCACGTACGGTACGTACCTTGTTGAACTGCTTCTAGAAAAAGGATTCGGTTTTAGAGACCCGGATGTCATTGGTTTTGATTCCTGTCCTAGATTCGGAAGAAGACATCGCAACATCAGTTGTGTCAAATCGTCCGTCATCAGACAATAATCCGATCAATGCATATTGGTACGTACAGGGGTTATGCGAAGGCAATAAGTTGTACGGTATGTTCTTAAAAATAGTAATGAACCAATAATTTTCTTACTCGTACAAGAAAAAAAAGAGAACGCACGAGAACGTACGAGTACTTACTTTTTGCCGAATAGGAAATGAATACAAATAGGGTTACAATGACATCATTATCAGGAAAATTCTCCTCTTACGGATWGGCTTTGATGGACCGTAGCACTGACAAACTAGTCCGATAAGCGATACGRTACTTCATTAAACACGTGTACGGAGTTTGTCCAGTCCTGTCATACTTGCTGTACCGCAGAGGTCATAAATTTAGAGGGGTGATGTTTTCGGGAATCACTTTCAGTGGTACTCAAGGCACACCCTGATGCTTCCATTTGCACAATACCTTGAGTACAGAAACTGGAAGGGATTTGGGATCATCTTCCTTCTTAAGATCTTTCCCCTTGGAGGCATACTCTTGTTCAATCAAACTGGTACTAGCCTTGGCATTGAACTCAGATACTGCTCTGGCTTTCTTCTTCGTCAGTGACTCCAAAGAATAAACTGTTGACTAGAATATTTCTTGGCTGTGTCCAAAGCATCTTGACAAGCTCTGGAACTTGGAACAGTGACTGTCTCAAACTGCTGATTTTTTTGGGGGCGCATACTTTTGGAAGATACTACTACTATTGAAACCACCAGTATMATTTAACAACTTTGGCGCTTTGATGTTCTTCTCCTCTTCATTCTTGACTAGTAGTGCAATAGTATCAGGATCAGCCAGTAAATCGATGGTACTGTCTTTGAGAGCAACTTTACTACCTGATAAACACCACCTTGTAGATGGTGCACTTCAAATTTTTGCACACACTGCTTTAGAATAAGCAACCAAGAATGCTTTATTGTAGGCCAGCTCCAACGCAACTTGTTCATTGAATGTAGTGTGACTCCCAACAACAAGCAACAGGAAATCATTTTGCCAGACGTTGTCTTTTCAACCCCCTGCAGAAACAAACCAKGGTCTCCAAGTTATAATGATACAGTGACTTGAATGGTCCATAGTTTTGATCTGTGGTGGGCTGGGTCACATGCATTGTATTTGGGACTCTGGAGTGCAAATAGAACCCTATTGYTTTTAGCTTTGCCAAGAACAACAAAAGATCCTTTTGCCCAGGTCTTCTATCCACAATGATGAGATTTTTTTGGTGCAAGGCAGATCAGCCGCATCTGGAAAAAGCTTTAGAATGGAATCCATCATGAAAAGATAGAATTCCTTTGCATCCATCCCATTGCAGTTCACTGTGATTCCATTCTCTGTTAACTTATTATTACCAAAGTCTGGAATGCCTTCTAATCTTGGATCTTACTATTGTCTTCTTCCACCTTGTATTTAAGTTGGAAATGAGGAGGGAGSGGAGAACCAGCAGCAGTACTCCCAGTAACTGCTCTTGGAATCTTGTAGAGGAACAGCCATCAACCAAAGAATGATTACCGTCAAGCATCAATCCACTTTTGTCTAGGTTAAGGATCTGATTTAGTTGACCATCAAAAATGCCAGCTCTCCTTCAACCTCACCATCATTGGCCCTCTTCTCTCTTGCCCATCCTCCAGATACCAATCTATTCTTCAGGGTGTTGAACCATAGGCTCTTATTGTTATGAATTGTCCGTTTGGCTCTCTTATCTTCAATTTTAGAGTAGGCAGCGACAATCTTAACATCAGGTGTGAACAGGACAATGAGATGATCATGAATGGGCCTCCTTTAARACATGATGCTATCATCTTAGTCACCTCAATTCTTCCATCTCCAAACACTTAGGTTTTTGAATGAAGAAATTGCATCTACAGGGGTTGCCTTGACAATGGCATGCAAACTTGTAGGACACCCAGAATTCTACCCTGGTGGAATATCTTTGAGGCCTGCATTCAAGAAACAGCGTCAAACCATTTYTGCACTCAATTCAATGTTGTACAGCTTGTTGACTTGGGCAAACATGGCACTTTTGTTAGTCACATTGCCAAGGGCACGTTTGTGTTTGGTTTTCTTTGCAATTGCTGAAAGATATGCYGTATCTTTTAGCTTGTTTTTGTTGTGCTTGTCAAGCTTCTTTGCATGAAAATACTGTGCACTCCAAGGAGGCTTCCCCTGCTTTTTTTTTTTGGGGGGGGGGCATCAGTAATGCTGGAAGTTTCACCAGTAGCTAAGTCAATGCCATCATCTTCTTTGCTGATGCAGCTGATGGTGGGGTTGCTGCTACTGGTGCCAGCAACAGCAGCCTCTTTTGTTGCAATTTTTTGTCAATTTTGATGCTTCTTGTTGAATACAGCTCTTTTCTTCTAAGAAACCACTCAGCTTATCAATCAGAGACTTCCAAATTCTCMTGTCCTTCTTACAATTAAGTTATTCTGGTGTGTGTGTGTGTGTGTGTGTGTGTGTGTGTGTGTGTGTGTGTGTGTGTGTGTGTGTGTGTGTGTGTGTGTGTGTGTGTGTGTGTGTGTGTGT